GATTCATCACTTACATAAAAGTGTTCATCCCAACCAGTGTCCCCCTTAATGCCCCTCACCTCTTTAGCCCATCCCCCCACCCAACACCCTGACAGCAACCCTGTTTGTTCTCTCTAAGACTCTTTTAAGAGTCTCTTATGGTTTGTCTCCCTTTCTGTTTTTATCTTATTTTTTGTTTTGAAAATAATTTCTCCTTTAATATTTAGACTCTTCAGAATTTAGTGGTATATCATTTTTCACATAAATATTTGTGGTAATACACACTCCTCCTGTCTGTGTTGACCCATTTGTAACAACCTCTTTAAGACCGCTGTATTTTGGCCACTAGTGCTCCCGTTTGCTTTTCCAGTAGTGGTCCAGGTGTTGGGACCTAACATCTTTGCTTAGTTTTGGGTGGTAGCAGCTGGCAGCAAATAGTTTGATAACTTAATTTCTATTATATGTTTATTATTAACTATACCTGAAATGTTGAAACAGTCATTTCTTACCCTTTTTGGAAATAGGGTATAGTGTCGTTGATTTTTGTGGTGTTTTCTCTTCCTTTATGGAAACAGTCTATATGTTTATTGTTAAAGTAGGAGGTTTATCTTAGCAGCGCCCCTTGCAGTCTGAATGACCGTGAGCCAAGCTACTTTAACTTCATGCTGCAGTTTTTAAGTTTCTAGAGTAGTGTGGTCACTGTGTGTGCCTCTTTGGGGTTGTGAGGCATCTGGGCAGGTGCACGCACAGCAGTGTGTTATCCGCGGTGTGTATCCTGGGACATTTATTTTTCTGTGAAACCGTTTGTGAGAATTGTGTGGTACCCTTTATGATTATTACAGAAGGAGAATTTTGAGTTTCAAACCTAATTAATGGCATATTTTATTAACAAATTTTTTTTTAATGTTTATTGTTAAGAGAGAGACACAGAGTGCGAGCGGGTAGGAGCAGAGAGAGAGGTTGACACAGAATCTGAAGCAGTCTCCAGGCTCCAAGCTGTCAGCAAAGAGCCCGACGTGGGGCTCGAACTCACAGGCTGTGAGATCATGACCTGAGCTGACGCTTAACTAAGTCACCCAGTTGCCCCCTAATGGCACATTTAAAAAAATTTTTTTCCAACGTTTATTTATTTTTGGGACAGAGAGAGACAGAGCATGAACGGGGGAGGGGCAGAGAGAGAGGGAGACACAGAATCGGAAACAGGCTCCAGGCTCTGAGCCATCAGCCCAGAGCCCGACGCGGGGCTCGAACTCACGGACCGTGAGATCGTGACCTGGTTGAAGTCGGACGCTTAACCGACTGCGCCACCCAGGCGCCCCTGCCCCCTAATGGCACATTTTAAAGATTGTTTAGCAAAATTGCAAGACTGGAGAGTTGGCTGTATTTAGTAGAGATGGATTTGGCAAAAGAAAATCCAGGATTTTGTCTTCCCCAACTTCTTATTAAGAAAATTTTCAAATTAAAGTTCAAAGAGTAACATTAGCATGCCTGTCAGATTCAGAAATTTGTAGTTTGCTGTTTTCACTTTATCCTATGTATATTTCATTTTCTTTTCCTGAAGTATTTGTAATTCCCTTGCGGATATTATAGCTGTCTGCCTCCAAAAATCTCAGCACGCATTTCCTGAGGGTGACTGTGCTCGAGTGCGCCCGCAGTGTCACTGGTGTGTGCTCCCACGGTGTCCTCCACCGCGCCCTAAGAGTCCTGTTTACATTTCTCCACTTGCCCTAAGTGTCCTGTACAGCTTTCCCTTCTAGACTGTGTCCTCGGGGTTCACCTCTCTGGCTGGAAGAGTCCATGGACGTTTCAGAGGGTCTGGCCTGCTTGTCTTGCGGGCACTTGAGTGTGGCTCCCGGGTCACCTGTTTACTGTAAACTGGAGATTGGTCTGGAGGCTGGGAGGTGTGCCTGTTTCCGTGGCCCCTGCAGGGATGTCCTTCCCCGCCGGTCTTCACCCCGCAGTGCCAACATCTGCCAGGCCTCTCCAAACCTAGCATCGCCTTTTCTCTGTCTTTTGACAGAATTTTCTGTAAATACTTGCAAGAAACTTTGATAATTCCCAGTCTCCTAGAAATAATGAGATTTTCCTGTCTCAACAGGTAAAGTTTTTTAAAAAAAGTTTTTCTGCAATTTGTCTTCTTTACTAAATTAATTACGTTAGAGTAACATAATAAGGTAAAGGTGGTATGTTTAAAAGTTTTTTTTTTTTTTTTCCCCAGTAAGTTTTGCCCTTTCCAGTCAAGAGTGAGATTTTGTTTTAGGAAAGTTTTTTGAAGCATCATATGGTGAGTGTGGGGACAGCACAGTGTTCGTGTGAGTGAGAGCTCAAGAGTGTGCCTCTCTTGCTTGGGCTCTCTGTTTCTGGATAAGATTAGGCAGTTGGAATATTAACTGCAACTCAGAAAAGGGAGAGGACTTTGATCTAAAGTCTTGCTTTCTTATGTTCAGAAAGCTCCCTGTGTAGCCTTCCCCCACCCCGCGGCTGTGCCTTGCACGTTTTAGAGGAGTGATGCTCATCCTGGGGACCGCAGCGGGGACTGGTACCAGGAGAAGCTCGGACGTGCCCGTGAGGAGGGCGCACTTGGAACAGGAGCGGGCTTGGTCTCCCATGTTGCGGAACCAGTGTAGTGCACCGGGTTCCGACCTGCTGATGTGTGCACGGTACAGCGTTCCCCGGTCTTCGAAGTGATCTTGTGAAGAGCAGCAGGGGTCCGGTGCTCTCCATTTGGGAAAGGGTACATCGGGTGAGGGGGGAGCAGATGGGGCAGAAGGGAGCAGGGGGCGCCAGTCAGGGTCAGGTGGTGGCGGGAGCAGTCCTCTCTGGTGTGTGGGGGGCGTCTCCCTAGCAGGTGGCCACTTGCCCGCCCAGGCGGGGACTGTCGGATGCTCACTCCAGGTAGGAGATTATAAGTTTGTTGGCCTTGCCTGATGGCTTACGATGTGGGCACCGTAGGAGGGGGCTGGGTCAGGGTTTGCCAGGAGAGCGAGTGACAAGACAAGAAGAGTAAGGAAACGGAGGAAGGCAGGGGAGGGGAGGAGCTGTCGTGGTGGATGTCCGAGGAATCAGAGTAGTGAGGAGGGCACTTAGTCCCCGAGGAAGACCGTGGACAGTGGCACGGTGGTGAGGCCACGGAGGGAGGGAATGGTGGCAGCCGGGAAGCGTGGGTGGGCATGTCCGTGTGACGGAAGGGGGCGATCGAAGGTGGTTGAGGATGTTGTGGTTCTTGGTGATGAGAAGGTGCGGGCTGTGACGCTGGAGGCGTGGGGGCTGGAGGGGCAGCTGTTTTGAAGCGATGATGTCCAAGACCTGAGGGGTGAGCTGCAGAGTCCTTGTTGCCGAACACGGAAGAGGAGAGTGGGCCCCGGGTCCCCGGGTGGCTGGAGGACCGGCTGGCAGGGGCTTCGGCCCCGTGGGCGCATTGGGCCTCCTGGAGGTGGGCGGGGTCCTGCAGGGCGGGGCTGTCACGTGACAGTTGCCAAGGGAGCCGGTGCTGCGGGCGCTGAATGAGGTCGGGGAGCAAGGCTGAGCGGCTGAGAGTGGACTCGGGGAGACGGGCGGTAGCCACTTGTCGGGCAGCCTTGGGCGGCGAGGCGGGCAGAGCCCGGAACCTCAGAGGGAAGAGCCTCGTCCAGAGACGGGTGCTGTGTCCTCGCTGTGTGTGCCACCTCTGTCCTTCCTGAGCCCCACACAGTGAGCACAGCCTGCAGGGTCCCCCAGTGAATTAATTCTCAGATCCTGTCATTTTTGAGTCTGTCTTCCTCGAATAATGAGAAAGCTTTATATTAGTTAAGAATTTTTAGCAGTAAAACGGACTCTTCTCTCCTCCACCAATTAGGCTTTTTAATTTTATTCCATTCTGTTGCATTTTTGTCTCTAGAAAATGAATTCAGCCTGGTCTTCAGTTAAACCTGTGAACACAGGGCTGTGGTTGTGCGCGTGAGGACTGAATACGCGAGAGCCGAAAGCAGTCCTGTGCGTCCGTGCAGTTTGCAGTAGACGCTCTCGTGGTCTGGAGAATGCGTGTCCCCACACGAGTTTCGTGCAGACTGACCCTGCGCCGGAGTCACATTTGGTTTGCAGGATGAGCTGCTTCCCTAAGATGACTTGACTGTCGCACGGGTGCAGAATTTGCTGGTCCCTTCCTCTGGTTTCTGGAAGCCTGAGGGGCCTAAAGGGCACCGCCGGCTTGTTGGCTGTTCTCTTGCCCCGGCGGCCGGCCTGCTGACCTGGTGCCCAGCTGTGCTTCGGACCTGAACTTGACTCCTGTGCTGCCCCTGCTCCGGCTGTCCTGGCGCCCTTCCTCCCTGTGACCGCCACCCCCTCACCACCTCCGTGGGCTCGGTCTTTGTGTCCCGTTGAGGAGACGGGCCATAGCAGTGTCTGTGGTCACTGACGCCCTAGCGTCCGCCTTTTACTGATCCTGGCAGCAAGGGGGTGTCGGGGTAGGGTGAGGGGCAGGTGCACCCTCCGCTGCCTCCCCCGTGTCCTCCGCTCGCGGGTCTGAGGAAATCAGGCTGGTCGCTTCTGGGCGGGGCACTTCATAGCTGACGTCGTGTTTAAAATTTTACGTCAGCTGGCGGCTCGCTTGTGTGGATGCTCTAGTAACGAACTATTACTTCGCTGTTTTTACAGAGTCCTTATGTTCACACATGTCTCTGCTGAACTTGTAAAAGAGGCACTTGGATGATGGACTGAAAGGAACGTTGAGAGTCCGGGAAAAGTTTCAAATCGGAGAGTTTTCAATTTTCACCCTAGTCCGGCAGCTGTGCTGCTCACGTACATACAGATGAATGAAGACCCCATTCGGGAAGACACCTGGCCAGCGGTCCAGAGCGGATGCAGGTAGGCGGGGCGGCCCGGCGTTCTCCAGTCAGCGTGCCACCGTGGGGACCTGCTCGGATGCGTCCGCACGGCTCTGAGGGTCGGCTGTTCTTCCAGCCCCGTGACGGCCGGTGTTTCGTACACCTGCGTGTGGAAAAACAGGTTCCTTGTTTGAAAGGCAGGGACGAAGCTAGTATTTTTCTCCGCGGTCTTTCGCCTCCCGCAGGTTGGACCTCCAGCAGATTCGCCAAGTGAAGCGTAAACACCCGCTTAATGGGGTTGTAATCAGGAGAGGATTTGTCATTTCTTTTTGAAGAAAGAAGTGAAAGGGGTTTGACTAGAGGAGTAGGAGGTTTAGGGTGTTTGTAGTAGTTTTGATGAAAAAAGCTTTTGTATGTTGATTTGGAAGAACTTTATTGGAATGAAAGGGATGGAAATGAAAGAGATATTTAATGGAAATTACTTCCTACTTCGGTGGCCCGCAGTTCGTGCAAGTAGAACAGAAGGTTAGACTTTGCGTGATTTTTACCCTCCCCAGAAACCAGGATGATACAGGGCGCACTGTGAAATAGTTAAGTCCTGCTTAGGACCTGAGCTCTTCTCCATGCCAGAAATAAGTCTGTCGTAACATTTTAAGATTCTTTGATGAATGAATCTGAGAATCATGCTAGCAAAACTAATAAACCTACAGAATGGTTGCTGTTTGATTTAGAACTGTTCCTTGTTTTTATTAACTATAGTGTTTGGAATTCCTTTGTAGAAGAGCCACCGGGATTCACATTTTTTTTTTTTTTTAATTTTTTTTTTTTTCAACGTTTTTATTTATTTTTGGGACAGAGAGAGACAGAGCATGAACGGGGGAGGGGCAGAGAGAGAGGGAGACACAGAATCGGAAACAGGCTCCAGGCTCCGAGCCATCAGCCCAGGGCCCGACGCGGGGCTCGAACCCACGGACCGCGAGATCGTGACCTGGCTGAAGTCGGACGCTTAACCGACTGCGCCACCCAGGCGCCCCCGGGATTCACATTTTTAAGTACCCCTTTTCTTTTATTTTCGTTTCTCGTTTGTGAAGATAATATGGATTCCGGTGTTTGGCATTTGTCAGTAGGATTACTTTGGCCCGAGATGACAGACTGAAGTGTCAGCCATCTGCCGGTGTGTTGTTCAGATCCAGGCCCTCGCGGCCGCGTAGACACAGGTGCACATCGCGTCTTCTCGAGCCCTGGTTCTTACCACCTAAGCAGGGGTGTGTTGTGGTGCGTACCTGCGGAGGTTCTGAGGACGAATAAATGAGCTCGTGTGTCGGGGCGCAGTTGGGTGCCCGGCACACTATAGCTGTCCTATGGAAAAGCATTGTTATTGTTGATCATGGAGTTTACAAGAAAATATTTTTATTTTAATTGCGAGAGTTGTTGTCAGGTGTTTTGTTGATCGGTGAAACCTCCCGTGTTTCTGCCGTTTGAAACAGTAATTCATTTTCCAGAGTTCTTTTTATGCATACCATTCCAAATTCAGCACTCCTGTCTTCTTCCTTGATTTTGAAGTCCTTGTCAGGTGGGAGAGCAGATTACAGCGGTGGGTCGCGGGGTGGGTCGCGTGGTGTAAGTGCCCGAAGGATCTAAACCGAGAGAGGCTCTTGCTCTTAAGGGAGAGATTGTTAATCCTAGCCAGTACTTTGATCTTGTGTTTTTCTTATTCCTTGGCAGTTTTAAGAGTGTGTGGTATAGGCTGAAGACAGAGTGGGTACTCTGTTCCAGGTGGCCCATTAGATACGTTAACATGAGACCGTGGAGTCTCTTACCGTTCCCAGCTGTTGTGTGGTGGTGTTCGATTTTGGAAAATTGCCGATCCCTTGATCAGTATTGTTTATAAAATTGTCTTCAACCATTCTTCCCATTAACATAGACCAAGGCTCTGTTGCTTTTAAACTCCTATGTCAGTTATGAATGTGCCCATTTACAAATAAAGAAAATTCACCCAAAAGGGGGGGTTCTCTTTCTCCTGCAGCAGGAAACCCAGGTAGGCCTTCCAGGGTCGGTACGGTGGCTCAGCTGTGACCATAGGCTGCTGCCATCTCAGAGCTTACAGCTGAGAACCTCACCGGGTAGGGCCTTTCTCCTCCTCTGTGGGCCTCTAGGGAGCTGGACTAACCCGAAGGCCCCCAGAACAAGTGTCCCCAGAGAAACCGGCACAGCTGCAGGGCTCTCCTGGTGAAGTCTGGAACTTTGGTGTGCACACTGGCTGACTTCTGCATTGTATTCCTGGAGGCCTTCCTGGGGGCGGACCCAGGTTCAAGAGAGGGAGCCAGTACTGTGCTTGATGGGGGGAGGGACTGTGGGGGGGGGAGGAATCTGAGGTCATGCCTTAAAATCCCCACAGCAGTAAATAGATCAGTAGGCGGTTCCCAGTTCGGGGATCTATGTTTGACAGAGCGTGGGTGATTAATAACAATTTGAAAGTTGAATATTTGTGTGCTCTTTATGTATCTAGTTCAACATATTAGGAATTTCTATTTTTTTTTTTTAATGTTTATTTTTGAGAGAGAGAGAGAGACAGACTGAACATAAGCAGGAGAGGGGCAGAGAGAGAGGGAGACACAGAATCCGAAGCAGGCTCCAGGCTCTGAGCTGTCAGCACAGAGCCCGACGCGGGGCTCGAACTCACGAGCCATGAGATCATGACCTGAGTCGAAGTCAGACACTTAACTGGCTGTGCCACCCAGGCGCCCCAGAGATTTCTATTTTAAAGTAACTTAGGTTTATCTGTGTAATTCTGTTGGAATTTAATTGGTTACTAAAGTAGTAATTTATGTACACCTAATGACATTGGACAGCAAGTCCTATTATGTACTGTACTGTTACATATATATAATTGTATATATACATACTATACTATTTTTCATGTGTTTTTTTCCCCCTAAAGTCAGGCTCCATTTTTTTACTGGTTTATCCAAGGTTTCCATTTTTCTCCTTTGTGACATAGTTTAATCATTCTGATAGGTACAGGGAATGGTAATGATACATAACCATGTTCATAATGCTCAGATTTATTTAGCAACTACTTTTGCTCTGTTTAATTAAAATAATTTTAAAACTTTGATTTTACTTTTATCCAGTTGATGAAAATTCATTGTTGAAAATGTCAAGTAGTGCCAAAGACTTCTAACAAAAAGCAGGCCCTCTATTCCTTCTGATATTTACCTTAAGTGTTCGTTAATACTATGCGGAGACAAATTTCTCTGGATTCTGACAGTGCTGAACCAAGTAAGGCAGTGCGATGACTTTTTTTTTTTTTTGGTACATTTTATTTTCCCTGGAATTTAGCCATTTCTTAATTTTTTCATATTTGCTTAAATTTGTTTGCAACTTGGTCTCTCAAACCATCCAACAGCTTTATAAAACTCCGTGTACTGTGCCACGTGGCCAGTGCCACACATGGCCCATCTGTCCGTGGATCCCCAGAGACTCTTCTCACACTTTCAGCTCTGTTGTCATCTGAGCCATGGCCTCTAGCTGCTGGTGCCCTGTCGTCCTTGGAACTCCATTTTCATCTCTGTAGCAGGATCCTCCTTGTTTGTGCTCGCTGTGCCTCCGGTGTTGGTGTGTGCTCTTGCCTAGGAAGAGGCTGTGTGGCCTCAAGCAGCTTTCGGAGTAGACTGCGAACGAGTTGGTGGTTAAAGTGGCAGGTGGAACGTGTCGTTTATTCGTACTCTCGACTTTTCTGCATGTATGAAATTGTCTCTGATACGGTTTTCCAAAAGTGCACCTAGAAGATGAGGTTCTTTCTGAGACCCTGCATCAACATTGTCTTCATGCTGCCCCCGTGCTGGCGGGGCCCAGGATTCTAGGTGGAGGTCACTTGTCATTCAGAATTCTCCGGGCATTGCTCCGTCTCTGGCCTTCTAGATCTCAGTGCTGCCATTGGGAAGTTGGATGCTGTTTCCAAACCTGTCTACGTGTCCAGTGGTCTTTGCCTCTCCTCTGGAAACTTCTGGACTGCTGCTTTATGTGCTATGACCTGTACTGCAGTGAATGTCCAGTTGGGTCTTTTTCACTTGGTGACATTTTCAGTCGGTCCCCCCACAGGGGTTCAAAGATCCTTCCGATGGTACCCATCCTCTCTCTCTGGCTGTATGCACCTTGGATGTTTTGCTTCTCAGGTTGACCTTTTTTTCCCTAAACTTTGCCAATTATTCATTCCCATTTTTTCATTCTTAGGAAGTTACTGACTTTATTTCCCAGCCTTTTAAAAAGATTTCAGTAAGGGGCGCCTGGATGGCTCAGTCGGTTAAGTGTCTGACTTTGGCTCAGGTCATGATCTCGCGTTCATGGGTTCGAGGTCCACGTCGGGCTCTGTGCTGACAGCTCGGAGCCTGGAGCCTGCTTCCGATTCTGTGTCTCCCTCTCTCTCTGCCCCTTCTCCACTCGCACTCTGTCTCCCTCTGTCTCAAAAATAAAAATAAACGTTAAAAAAAAAAGATTTCAGTAAGCATTTTAAATTTCTAGGAGCTCTTTTTTGTTCTGTTTGCTATTTCATAGATGCAGGTAGCTTATACTTCTGAGGCTATAAATTGCATTTTTTAAAAAGTATATTTTTTAAAGTTTATTTATTTGAGAGAGAGAGCATGCATGCACAAGGGAGCAGGGGAAGGGCAGAGAGAGGGAGAGAAAGAATCCAAGCGGGCTTTGTGCTGTCATTGTGGAGCCTGACATGGGGCTCAAACCCACGAATCATGAGATCATGACCTGAGCCAAAATCAAGAGTTGGTCACTCAACTGACTGAGCTATCCAGGTGCTCAATAAATTGCATTTTTAAGAAGACTTTCTTGGGGGCACCTGGGTGGCTCAGTCGGTTAAGCATCCAACTTCATTCAGCTCAGGTCATGATCTCTGTCTCTCTCTCTCTCTCTCTCTCTCTCTCAAAAATAAAAATTAAAAGAAAAACTTTAAAATGACTTTCTTGAACTAGCTTGGCCTGTTAGGAATGTCTTTGTGTTGATTTGCTTTTTAGTCTGTTTCACCTGGAAGTTTTCCTTAAAT